TCATAGAGCAGTTGATAGTGGGCCACATAGAAATCAAAGAAGCAAAAGTGTCAGTATTTAAGCCTATGTATGTCTGAATCACAAACTTGCCTACTCAGTGCCTATACTATATTCTCTTTTATCAATTGTGCACACACACACACACACACACACACACACACACACACACACACACACCCCTTTCTTGCTCTTTTCTCTTCCTCTACTTTGGCAGCAAAAATTCACTGGACTCTCAGAAAATCATGCTGAGTCACAGAAACATCTGATGTGAGGCCAATATTACTCTTCCATTTGGCTGGTGAACCTTTCCTCACATACATGGGAAGCAGGCTGAGGGCAAGAGACCATTCTGCCAGGTGGATATGTCACACATTATTTGACCACTTTCACAAATAAAGCTTAACCTGTAGCTAGTAGAAAATAAACTCTGCTGTAGCATACTGACACCTAGGTGAACTTTTGGTAAATAAAACTCCTTTATAAGAAATAGACTATTCATCCGTTTCCATTAATTTTTGGAAAATATAACACTCTGCAATTCAGAACTATCTGTATCTGCAGTTGCATGACAAAAATACCTCATTCCAAAGGTTTTTTTTATTGTTGTTGGCCATTTGAAGATATGTGGGGATTAATTCTAGGCTATTAGGATGCATCTAGATGGTTCTGGTGAGGAACTGACAATGTGAAGAGTGTATTGGTAGCATGGAATAAAGTACTAGGTATGACCTTGTCAGCTGGGAGACTTCCTGGAAGAGACAGGGGAGGTGAACAGCCTGAGACTTAAGACCCTAAACCCCAGTTCCACCCTCCCCAGTCATGTGGTTTGGGGTTAGTTCCCTAACTTCCCTGAACACCAGTGGCCTCACCTGCCGGAAGAATGATAGTATTTTTGGCTCAAATTAGGTAGCTTTCAGGAAATTGTATTATCCTCTTTTAACATCCTCTTCCCCTTTACTGTTTCTACTAAGGTGGGGCTTCTCCAAGGCTTCCCTTTGGGTCCAAGTTTCTGTTTTCTCTCTCTGGTTACCTCCGTTTCAGCCACGTCTCTGTGCTCCAGCACAATATTTCCTGCATTTCAACCTATGTTGTATATTGTTACATAGACATGCTGCCAAAGCATTTTATATTTTACCAGCACAACGTCAACATTTCATTTCTTCCCTAAATTGCCTTCGAAATAATGGTTCTTTTAAAAATATCCTTCCATCTTACACACTCCCAAATCTCTGAGTCATCTTCAAGGTTGTTTTTCTTGTTTGTTATCAGCAACTGAATTCTGTGGACTCCTCCTTCAAAGTTTCTTTGGTTTAAGCAAGAATGGAAACCCAAAGGTTTATAATAATGGTATTAGGTTTATTTTTTAAGAGTAACATGCCTATTTCCTTAATATAGATTATTTAGAAAACTGAAGGAATTTGTCTACTAATCTTAACCACCTAACTATTGCACAATTAGCTAAATTGGGTATTGGACTGCAGTCACTCCATTTCCAGAATTTTATACACAATTTCAGAATTACTTCCTCACACAAAAAAAATCTTCAATAATCCTCCAAGACTTCTGAAGAGTAAAGCATGCAAAGATCATACAAACCTCTTTCTAGCCTGTCTCTCAGTGTCTACTTCCACTGGCCCAATTCAGTGCTCTTCTCTTCCCAAATTCCTTGCAATTGCCTGACCTTTTCTTGACCTCATACCATTCTTATTTATTTCCATATCTTTTTGCCCTATCATGTTTGGTGGAATCAGCAGATCTTTAGCCTCTTTTATCCCAATTACTTTCTGAATCCAGGCCACTTATTTTGGTGTTGCATTTTCATAGTGTTTATCATATGGATTATGGATTCTTGGAAGCAAATATTAATACTTTTAAACACTAAATATTCCCCAATTGTTTAAACACCAAGTCAGTTTTTGGTACCAGCGTAAGAACTGTGCTTTTTAAAAAATTTTACTTATTTTTATGTTATGTGTATGAGTGTATTACTTGCAGGTGTGTAAATGGACCTGTGTCATGCAGTGCCCATGGAGGTCAGAATAAGGCATTGGATTCTCCTGGAACTGGAGTTACAGACTGTTGTTAGTATCCATGTGAGTGTTGGGAATCGAACCCGGGTCCTCTGCAAGAGCAGCCAGTGCTCTTAACCTCTGAACCATCTCTCCAGCCCTGAATTATACTTTTTTGCCCCATCAAAATCAAAGATCTATTTTGTATAACTTATGTTTCTTGACTTAGTTAATAAAAGTATCATTTTGGAATTGGAGAGCTATAGAGATTTTAGTTCCCAGACGTTTTTAAATCGATGTAGAATGAGATGCTACAGGATGAAGAATCAGCTGAGGGCACACGGCTTACTTCTGAAGTGCAGAATAAAAACAAGGAACTAGTGCTCACACAAGATGACCCTGGCTTTCCAAATTATCCCCTTCAAATCCCTAATTCAGTGTGCTCTACATAGAACAAATCTTTCCTCGTTGGGTTTGGGAGATACCTTAGTTGGTGAAGTGCTTGCTGTGCAAAGATGAGGACCTGAGTTCAATCTCTAGAGCCCATGTAAAAATGCCCAGTGTGCTAGCATGTGCTTGTGATCCCAGGACTAGGGAGGAGGGAACAGATGATTTCTGGGACATTTGCTGGCCATTCAGCCTAGCCTAATTGGTGAGTTCCAGGTCAATGGAAAACCCTGTCTCAAAAGAGGTAGACAGTGTTCCTGAGAATGATACCTGATGTCCTCTGGCCTCCACATGTGTTCTCTCTCTCTCTCTCTCTCTCTCTCTCTCTCTCTCTCTCTCCACACACACACATACACACACACACAAGTGCACACATTCCTGTACACATACCTCCATATATAGGTGCACTTGCATAATACAAGCACATACACAAACATAAAAGTCAAAGTTTTAAAATCAAGCTAGATTTATACTCTAATCTGATCACTTCTTAACTGCCTAGATTATGGTAAAAATAACACCTTCTCAGCTTCTTTCCTCACCAGGGATATGTTTATAGCTTTTCCATGTCATGAATTTGTGCTGGTAAAATGGTATGTGCATGAAGCAATTAGAATACAGCAGATTTGGGCCATTGTTCAAAATAATCTTCACTACATTATAAATTTGAAGATTTTTTTCTTAATAATGCTTAGATTTTAATGCATATATTTTGGGGGGGTCTTTTTGAGACAGGGTCTCCTGTAGCCCCAGCTGTCCTGGATTCACCATGAAGACCAGGCTGGCCTTGAACTCACAGAGATCCGCCTGCCTCTGCCTCCTGAGTGCTGGGATTAAAGGCATGCACCACCACTCCGCGGCCACATATGTTTTTTAAATTAGGTAAATACATGAATTTAAAAAAAAATTTTCCCTTCAGAATGTTGTAATTGTTTGGGTGGTGATAAGTATTAAAGATCCACCCATTATTTCTTGTAAAAGTTCCTTTTAAAATAACTTGATACCAAGAACAAAATATTTCAAAGGTGAATTCTTAGAATATTCTGAGTGATAAAGATAATTTTGACACTTCACTAAACTCATTCTATCTGAATATAAAGCTATGAAATTCATTTAATAAACATTCAGAGAGCTCTTTCAAGTATATTTGACAACTTCCTAACTGGTCTTGACACTAGCTGCCTATAATAGTATCCCAGAAGGAAGTAGTGGTTAAGGTCACAGAAAGCTCTCCCGGGTGACAAATGAAGGCCTAATACCACTTCTAAAACACTGTTGGACCCTGACATTCTTGTATTTTATATCACATAAGGAAGTAATGGTAACGTTTTTATCATCAAATATGGGAAATACAGGTAATGGTTTTAGCCAGGTATTTAAACTCTGGGATGTTTTTTGTGTTTTTGAGATCTTGCCCTATTCTGTAGGTCAAGCTAACTTGGAACTGTTTGTAGCCCAGCCTGGCCTCGAGTCCACAATCATTCTTGGCCAGCCTTCCAAGTGTTGGGGTTAGAGTGGTGAGTTACTATGGCATGGTTTAAACTCTAGAATGCTTAAATACTGTTAACATTTCAGTGGAAGCCTAAAAGATCTGTTTCCTATAATCCATATAGGACTGAGCAACAGTGGTTAGCTAAACATGAATCTGAGGAAGCACCGTTGTTGAAAAGTAGTTTCCTTTTTTCCAAAGCTCACACTCACCAATACAAAGCTATGAGAAAACATTCAGAGAAGAACACCAGCGTGCAAACACCCCCGCAGTCGGTCACTGATGAAGGGTTTCACCAGCCGGGTAGGGCAGCTAAGGGAACAAGAAATCTATGCTAGGAAACTGCCAACCAGACATGATTAAAGGGAAACACGGTCTTGGGGCTATATTCCCTTGAAGACAAAAAACTCCTGGTGTGATTCAATGTATGGACAGCTTTGCAAATGAAACAAATCTTTCTCCACCATCTTTCTGAATTTCCCTTTATAGTTCTACTACAATGATCTCAAGAGCTCAAGAAGTGTCCTTGGTAAATAAACTGGGCAAAGAAAGGGACTCTCACCCAGGTAGGGTCTATAAATGAACAGTCATGCATCCCAGGCCTCTCTGTCTGAGTTGAAAGAGAGTCCTGGCAGGCTGGCCTCCAGCTCACCCTCACTGTCATAGGCTCTGTTTTGACACCATGGGGTGGCCTAAGAGACTACACCCTTGGTCACAGTTCCCACCCTCACGTAAGCATTAGACACATCTTCCAACAGACGCCACAGGGGCCCTGGGTGTGTACAGCTTTTCAGCTCCCCAGAGTCTTGGAATTTCGCGCCTCCCACTTAGTTTACCAGCAGTCAAGTTTAGCAGTTCTCCCAACTATTTCACAGACGCCGGAGCCAAGCGCGCCCGGGTGGGATTTTTGGTGTTGTTCACTTATTTCCACCTCCAGACTGTTTGTAGGAGGTGCGACCCAGCTACAAGGTCTCCTCCCAAGGGTGGGTCCTCCGTCCCCAGGGCCCTGGCCGACGCTCCCGACTTAGACCCGCCCACGCCCCTAGTGAACGCCCTAGGCTGCGCGGCTGCCCCACCCAGGGTGTCAGAGCCCCGCCCGCCGGCTCTCAACGAGCCGGAGGAGAAACTGCCCGCGACCGCTCTGCCCTCGTGCCGTCCCTGCCTCCGGCTATGAGCCGCAGGCGCCTGCCCCGAGGGCAGCTGCTGCTGCTGCTGGCCCTGCTGTGCCCCCCGGTCCGCGGTGAGTGTCCCAGACGACTGCCTGCTGCGGGAGGGTGCGGGGTCATCTGGCATTGTTCGGGTGGGGAGGGACCCGGAGGGCGGGCGGCATCCAGCTGTCCGCTGGAGGGCTAGGTGTGGGGGGCTAGGGAGTTGGGGCTGTTTCCCGAGAAGGCGAGGAACTAGAAGTCTCAGAGTAGAATTCCTAATTCCACAGTAAACTGTTAGGCGGAGGCTGCTACTTGCAGTGGCGTGCTCCACACTGCACTACACCCTCGGTGTCATATCTTGGGCACACTGTCAACATGGACACTGACTTCTAAACATTTGTTTAAGGGGAGGGGATGATTTATTCTCAATTTATTTGAGTCTGTTAAGAACTGAGGCTTAGTTCAGCATTGGGTGGGTGGGAGTAAAGGTTTATCTAGAGCCAACGCTGGGCTGCTTCCTTTATTTAACATGTTGGGAAAGACCGTTGCTATGAACCGAAAAGCAGTATTTCCTTTAGATCTCTTTCTCCTCCCTAGGTGACTGCAACCTACCCCCAGAAGTACGGAATGCCCAGCCAGATTTGAACGGGAGTACAAGTTTTCCCGAGCAAAGCTTTGTGACCTATAAATGTGACGAAGGTTTTCTAAAAATTCCAGACAAGGTAGACACCGTGACCTGTCTTGAAAATGGTCAATGGTCTGACATTGAAGAATTCTGTGGTCGTAAGTTCTTTCTTTCTTTTTAGAAAAGTTATGGAATGTCTATCATATCGAGGTTATTTTTACACCTCTTCAGAGTGACTGGTAATTGATAGTTTTCTGGCATTATTAAACCCCAGAGCGGACCACGTTGGCACTTCACTCCGCAGCTAATTGAAGGCGGTACTTCCTACAGCAGTCCTGCTTCTTCATTAAGAGTTTTCCTTTCTAACACCATTCCTCCTGTACAGACTAATAGAGAAAATAAACAATAGGTATTGTTTAGGGAGTAAATTATACGTGAGTATGTTTGGCAATTACCTTGAGACACATACCCAGGTGAACTGTCTTCTTAAACTTCATTTTGTGAAATAGCTGATATAGCTCTTGAGAGATATTTTTAAAAGCCCTTACTTCAAAAATCTACTGTACACACAGTTTTAGGTTGTTTTGTCATTATCTGAACATCATAGAATGATGCAAAACTAGATGGTATATTCTACCCACCTGGGTTATATTGGATAGCCCGTTGCTTGTTCTTGGCTATATAAACCTGTACAGCAATTTTAACCTGCTAGTCAGAGAGAGAGGACTGACCATCAAGGCCTAAGACTCTCTGCTACTAATGGCTTTATAAACTTTTTTTTTTGGTCTTTGTGAGACATGGTCTCCCTGTAGCCCCAGCTGTCCTAGAACTGGCAATGTAGACCAGGCTGGCTTTGAACTAACAGAGATCTGCCTGCCTCCTCAGTGCTAGGATTAAAGGCTTGTACCACCACACCCGGCTACCATTTTGTTTCTTTAAAAAAAAAAACACGAAAGAAACTAACCTTAGTTTACTTTTTGTTTGTTCTTGAGAGCAGGTCTTTTTGCCCAGGCTGGCCTCAAACTCTTGTACTCATGAAATCTTCCTGCCTCACCCTCTTGAGTAGCTAGAATTAGAAGCTACCATGCCCAGCTTTTTTTTTTTTTTTTTCTAATTTCCACTTTTCACAGTGTTAAAAAAAAAATAGTTAAAAGCATAGTATGGTAAATACATGAACTGGTAACATATACACTTATTATCAAGTATTATGTACTGTATGTGATTGTATGTACTATACTCTCTTATGATTGTCCATGTAGTATGATTATTTCCACCAGTACCACTGCAAATATGTTAGTAGAGCATTACATTACATATTAGGATGACATTGCTAGGCAACAGGAATATTTCAGCTCCATTATATATCTTTTACTTAAAAAATTTATTTTATTCACATCGCTTTCTTTAAGAAGTAGCATGATTACATTGAAAAACTTTGTATAGGTGGAGAATTTGGAAAGTGAATGAATGGCAAGTCCACATTTTAGGAACAATAACAAATTTCACAGTGTTGAAGCTTGGTAGTAGTTTTGTCAGTAAATAATATTCAGAAATTATGGTAGACATATAGAATTGTGAATTATAGTCTAAAATATAATTCCATAATTTTAGCTTGATAATTATATTTGTTTAGTTATTATAGTACTTTTTTTTTTTAACTTCCAGACTGTGACTTTTATTTCTAGATGTTCAGTTAGGGCATAGGTAAAGGTATACAGGTTCTGTAGAAGAATAATAGAAAAATAATGGAAAACCCCCTGGTGCCTGGTAATGGGAGAAGTCTAACATCAAGGCCTGGGTACCCAGGACCACACATGGAGTGAAAACCACAGCTGACTATCAGAAGAAGAGGCAGATCCATTCTGGAGACCAGAATCTGCAAATGACAGAGACTTCCCCTGTCCCCCAGCATAAGTGGCAAACCCACTCCATCCACAATATGGGACCACTGTGGGAATCCAGCCACTCAGAGAAGACTCAAACTGTTGCCCAACACCAGGAAGTCCTCCAAGTTCTTACTCTGCTCCACCTCAGCCTACCACCAGAGGAATGTGGAACTGTGGTTCAACTCTAGCTCATGGGAGTCCACAGCTCAGGCTTACAGGAGGGGACCACAGCTCCAGCTCATGGGGAGGGGATCACAGTTCTAGCTCCCAGGGTGGGACCGCAGCTCCCGCTCACAGAGCCAAGGGGATACCATAGCTCCTGCTCACAAGGTGGTCCTCTCCAGCTCACAGGAGGGGACCATAGCTCCAGGTTCCATTATATATCTTAAGAAACCATAATTGTGTATGTGGCCCATCGTGAATCAGAACATGTAGTACATGACTGCATAGATGAAAGTAAATATAAAAATAAGACTTGATCCCAGATGAAAATAAGACTTGAGGGGCTGGGGAGATGGCTCAATGGTTAAGAAAACTGGTTGTTCTTGCAGAAGACCTGGGTTCGAATCCCAGCACCCACATGGCATCTAACAACTATCCATAACTCCAGTCCCAGGGGATCTGACAATCTCTTCTGTCCTCAGCGGGCATTGCATGACTTGGGTGCACTTACCTACACGCAGGCAATACACACATGCACATAAAATAAAAATAATAAATTAAAAAAAATAAGACTTGATTCCTGCCTTTGAGCAACTTGAATCAATGGAAGGTGCAGTAAATATAGGAATTTTCAAAACGAACTTCTGAAACAATGTATGAAACTGGCTTTAAAGTTTTGTTTCCATCCACTATAGAAGGCAAGAGGGTAAAGTGCATAAGCCTTCACCACATGGATCATTTTAGAGTTTAACTCTGTCACGTGGACTACCTCATCTAATCCTTCAAGCAGCTCCATGAGTTAAGTAAGTGGGAACTCTTCTCCCCATTTCAGAGTTGAAGAAACCTGCTTGCAGAAGGAAAATAACTTCTGTGAGATCAGTATCTCTTATACAAAAGAGCCAGGCTTCAAGCTTGGACCTTTGGATTACCGATCCGGTGTCTCTTACTAGAGTCCTTGACGCTGTAGATCACATTTGCTCAGCTGTTTACAGTTATTCATACTTTTTGTGCACAGTTGGCTAATCTGATTCTTGTGCCCAGGGGTGGTGAGAATAAACACTTAAGTGTGTTTAAAACATTTGGAACATTCAATAAATGTTAGATGATGATGATGATGACAACGACGATGACGACGACGACGACAATGAGCCCAGAAGTCTGGAACTACTTACTGTCATCATCTGTGTCAGTGATGCTGTGTAATTCCTTGGGGCAGCATGAGGGGAACTACGTTGCATAAGGGAACATTTACTGACTCCCAGAACTGTGCTGGGCAACTTAAGTGGGTTATATTTTATGAAAACTGGTGACCTACACATACAAAAGCTTCAGGCATCTAGTAACTGGGAAATGAAAGTATATATGTGAATACACTTGATGCACTAAAGATAGCACAGTGATTTTAATAAAAATGAATGTATAAAGAAGTAAAGAGCTCTAGCACTGCAAATGACAAAATATTACCAGATAATTATAATTATAATTATAAAATAAGCTGATATTACTCTTGTTGTTGTTCTGTTAATTATTTTAGGTAGCTGTAATGTTCCAACTAGACTGGTTTTTGCATCCCTCAAAAAGGAATATATCACAAAGAATTTTTACCCAGTTGGTTTCACCGTGGAATATGAGTGCCGGCCAGGGTTTCAAAGAACTTCTTTTTCATCAGGAAAATCAACTTGCCTCCAAAATTTAGAATGGTCTGAAGTTGATACATTTTGTAAAAGTAAGTATAATTTTAATAAGTAATCTCAAACATCTTTATTTGGGGAAATATTATCTCTTCTATTTGTGTTGGAACTCTGTGTATATATTACTATTTAGGGTGATCCTTAAGAGAACCATGACTTATTTTATTTTAAGTTAGACAAATATTTATGCAATGTGAGTAATTATTTACTCACATATTTCACATTTGCTTAGTTTAAGGTTACCTAAAATGGCTATATAGTGTAAGTATATTGCTGTTTAGAAGAATCAAAAAATGAAGGTAAAATTAAAAAAAATAATGGTGGGGCTGGAGAGATAGCTCAGTGGTTAAGAGCACTGACTGCTCTTGTAGAAGACCCAGTTTCAATTTCCAGCACCCACATGGTGGCTACGAACTATCCTTGACTCCAGTTCCAGGGGAATCCGACGCCCTCTTCTGACCTCCATGGTACTGCATGACACAGGTGGACTCACATACATGCAGGCTATACACTCATACACATAAAATAAAAATTAAAAAAAAAATAATGGTTAGAAATACCAGTGGTTCAGAATTTGTGTATGTGTCTGATAATTTAATTTTTCCTTCAACTTTCCAGAGATACAATTAACAAATAAAAATTGTACATATTCAAGGTGCACATTATTTTGTGTTAATTTTTTCTTCTAATGAACATTTGTTTATTTTGTGTGTGTTTGCATGTTCATGAGTAGCTGTGGGTGTGCTTGTACATGATGTGTGTGTGGAGGTCAGAAGGACAACCTTGGGTATCAGTCCTCAGGCACCTTCCATCTTTTGTTTGAGATAGGTCTCTCATTGGCCTAGAAATTCACCACGTAGGCCAGGTTACCTGTCCCCTCCTTCCTACACCCCTCACTTCCCTGGCTTACAAGATTTGCTTCCATCTTGTCATCACTGGGAATACAGAGATACAGGTGTATGCCACTGTGCCCAGCTTTTTTACATGGTTGGATTCTAGTGATCTGAGCTTAGATTCTCACACTTGCAAAACAAGCACTTTATCAACTGAGGCATCTCTCCAGGCCTTCATTATCACTATTATTATTGTGTGTGTATATGTACATGTATGTGTGTCTGTGTGTTTGTACATGTATATGTACATGTGTGCATGTATATGCACGTGTGTGTGTGTGTGTGTGTGTGTGTGTGTGTGTGTGTGGAGACAGGTTCTGTCATTGCCCTGGAATTCCCCAAATAGGCTAGGCGGGCTGGCCGTGACCCCTAGGGATCTCAATGTCCACCTGTCCAGCTCTGGGTTTCCAGGTGCTTGTCATCGTACTCAGCTTTCCTTACATGGGTTCTTGGGATCAAAGGAATTGAAGTCAGTCCTGTAATGCTTGCATGGAAATCACTTTACCAACAGAGCCATTCCCTAGCCCCATTTCTTAAATTTTATTTATTTTTATTTATTTTTTTTTATTTTTTTAAAATGTTTTATTAATTTTATTTTATGTGTATGCATGTATTGCCTGTGTGTAGGTAAGTGCACCTGTGTTGTGCAATGCCCACGGAGGACAGAAGAGGCTGTCGGATCCCCTAGAACTGGAGTTTCAGACAGTTATTAGCTGCCATTTGGGTGCTGGGATTCGAGCTTGGGTCTTCTGCAAGAACAACCAGTGTTCTTAACCACTGAGCCATGTCTCCAGCCCCAAATTTTATTTTTTAAGTTAAAATAAGATAATGTGTTTGCTTCAATGTGCCATTTCACTTTGCTCTTATTCATCCCCTGCCTCACTCTCCTAGACCTTATTGCTGGTCCCATACCTCTTCCCAAATATCCTCCCTTCTGCTTTCCTGTCACATGGATTCTCTTCCTCTTTTTTACCTCCTTTCCTGTTAATGTCACTTCCTTCCCTCTCACCATCCCCTGTTCTACTTTAAACATGATGTTTTGCTATACATGGGTATTGTGAAATTTTTGCCACTATTAATTTGTCAACATATCCATTACAGTTACTCTTTCTTTCTTTTTTCTTTTTTTTTTTTTTCGGCCTGTGCTTGGTAATTCAATGAAAAAATAATTCGTATTCTCTTTTAGAAAAATCATGTCCTAATCCTGGAGATATACAAAATGGTAATATCAACATAACAACTGACATGTTATTTGGTTCACAAATCTTCTTCTCATGTAACACAGGGTAAGTTTCATCATACTAACTAATGAAAAATCAAATTAGGATTTCAGGTGGATATTACTAGATTTTTGTTTTGACCTGTGTGCATAGGCTAGTTGCAACTAAAATACCCCCTCATAATGGGAGCAAGGATGAATATGAGCAAAGTACAGGTATGAAAATGTCATGAAAGCCATTATTCCATATGCTAATAAAAAACAAACAAAAAGCCAGGCATGGTGGCACATGCCTTTGATCCCAGCACTCAGGAGGCAGAGGCTGGTGGTCTACATGTGTGTTCCAGATCAGCTTGGGCTGTGGGAACACTCTGTGTCAAAAAAAAAAATCAAACCTCTCTTCTCAAAGATCCTTTGTAATTAGCTCATTGAATTTAGTAATATGAATCAGGAAAGGAAGATTTTTTTTTTTACACTATCAACTTCTATTTCAGCATATATGTGATTCTAAATGTAATTAGTAAAGAAAAATTGAAATATGTTGATGATACTTAGAATAGTCCTTCAAGTGGTAAATATTGAACCAATCTTTAATTGACTTAAATATGAATTTGAATCTGTATTTTTTTTATACATAAACAAACTTATGAGATGTCATGGGCTAAAAAATGTTAGGTATGAAAATATTCTTAATTTAAGATCTTTTATAGTTTTCTATGTAGGAAAAGGAATTCATTCATTGAGTACCATCAGTGTCTCAAATACTATTGAAAACTTCCCATTCATTTTCTTATTTCACATTTACAAGATCCCCCTCCCTCTTTCTCTTTCTCTCGCTCTGTGAAAAAGAAACAGGAAGCACTAAATGGACTCAGTGGGTTTACAAAAAGAATTGGGAATTTACTAGGAGTTGGGAAGGAATAGTGGTTTAGGGGTTGGGCTAGGGGAGGAATTAGTATAGGGAAGAAATGCAGTGGATTTGATTAAAACATTGTGTATGTATGAAATTTTCAAACAATAAAAAATAAAAATAAGTAAATGAGGATGCATTTAAAATTTAAAAATAGTATCACTTGTCTCCTATATTAAGTGTAGATGTCAGCTGGATCATTATTGTAGAGTCTTGCAAGTGTTACACCCTTTAGACATAAATGGAATCTGTGATTTTCTGAAGCCTGTTATTTTAGAACTCAGAAATATAAAATATTTCATCTATATATTTTTAAAGTGCTTTCTACATTTTTGTATTTTCTGTGCTGCAAGAGAATAAAGATGTCCTTCATGTTTTGTACATTATCTGTTGAGTGTCACTTTTATAGACTAATTTTTTTCTTTCCTTTAAATTTCCATGTAGATTTTTTTCAACTCACTTTGTCTCCATCTACTGGTGTAGTAAATATTTTTAAATGATGTTCTGGAGAATTTGAAAAAACTCGAATATGTAAAGATTTAATAAAATGTTTTTCTCTTCTTATTGCTCTAGGTACAAATTACTTGGCGCCGATTCTAGTTTCTGTTCTGTTGTAGGGAAGACTGTTGCCTGGAGCGATCCATTACCCACATGCACAGGTATGTTTCTTTTTAAAAAAATGTAAGTACTCAGGTTGTGGGACTGAATGAGCAATGATAAATTAATGACTTCTCATTTAAGAATTATTGGCCATGTATATTTGTAATGCCCTAACTTTCCAGTGTGTCTCCACTAATTTACAGATTTCTTAATTGATTTGCTATGGGGACAAACCATAAAGCTGTTCTAAGCCTTAGCATCCTTAATTACAGAATAATAGTTAAAAAACCAACTAGGATTTACATTATACTTAGTCTTTATTATACACCTATTCTTTCTAATAATCAAGTAAGCAGATTTCCCACAATTTTATGGAAGAAAATACCATCCCTTAGATGATGATTGATCTCATGTCCTAAAATAAGTGGCAGCAGAAGACACTGAACACAGGCCTCGTAATTCAAGCTTATCCTTTTTCTAAGACCTACTGTTGACTTGTGTCTTTTTTGAGGATTATGTTTATCAACTGAGATAATTACATGGAAAATTTTAAAGTATGATATGTTTTTTATTAGAGAAATAAGGTTATGTGATAAAAAGAAACATAGTTTATATGCATGAGAATCTGAACTTCTCAAAGATAAAATATAACATAGAAATGATATCATAAATCCAGTCAAGGATAGGCCAGTTAGAGACACGGCTTTCCATAAAAATTGAAATAAATAAAATATGTGCTTTTATTAATTTTCTATTTACTTATTTATTACAATGGTGACTATCCTTATGTCTTGTACTATATGGTGAATATCCTTCTGTTTCTTGGCGCTTCCCCATCTCTTCAAATTGGCAGCTACTGATACCTATATTCCTCATGAAAGATCCCTTGACCCTGAGCAATCCAGTGCTAGCAATTATCCTAGTAAATCCCTCCTGCTGGGATCTAGTATTAATTTCCACATAAATTTACTGTTTTGTTTTGACAACACCAGAATATTGAATGGAAAGTGAATGATTAAACAGTGCAGAGCTTCTCTTCAAGGATGTGACCTTCATATGTCAATTCATGAGGTTACATTGGTATCCACATGTGGATATGATTACAGAGATATGGATGTGAATGAGGAAGTACATGAACACATTAAAGGATTATCTTTAATTGTACATCAGACAGAGGTGGTACTTGACCTCTGAATTAAGCCTCATTGTCGGGAGAACCTACTTTCTCTTATCTCTCTGTTAAAATTTTCTTTTGTAAGATGACTTTCAGTTGCTTGCCGGCACCTACTTATCTTTAATTGATGCCTTTTCCAGAGCAACTGTTGTCCCAGGCACCTCTCTGTGTCTTAGCTTCTCATATACAATCTCTTAAATCATTTTCCTTAATTCCTACATAGACTTTTCAGACCTGTGTTACTTCCTGTGTGTTCCTTTCTACTTTTAACCTCATCCTCATGCAATGGTCATTGCATCCAGGGACACCCCTAACATTTTTAAGGTTAAGGCTTCACTATTAAAAAGTGGCCCCTTGGCCTAGGAACCACTCTCCCCTTTCCTACACTCCTGTGAGGGATCCTTCGATACACATAATTATGCAGCATGGCCTATATGTTGAAGCCATGTCTATCATGACACTTATTCCTAGTTCATTGTCCCTCAATTAGAGGTGAGTGCACTAATCATAGAGACTACTCTCAAGAATATGGACCAGCATCAATCAGTTGTCCCAATACAGACTAAAAGGTTTCATTTCCAACAATTCTTAATTCAACACAAACAGACCTCCCAGTCTTTGCTTCTCTTTGAAGTGTCACAAGTTAGGCCTCATCATGTACAGTTCTTTCAGCATTATCTTTCAAGTTTCTACTGAACAGCAATCTGAGCTCCAAGCATGTTTCTAGTCCAAAGCTCCACAAATTTCCACAGTCCTCCCAAACACATTGTCAGGTCCATCACAGCAATACCCCATGATTCTGGTACCAACTTTGTATTGGTTTGTTCCTCTCTTGCTGTGATAAAAACACTGACCAAAACCAGCTTGGGGAGGAAAGGGTTTATTTCATCGTACGTCTCCCAGGGCATAGTTCATCACTGAGGGAAGCCAAAGAAGGAACTCACAGCAGGAACCAGGAAGACAAACCATGGAGGAATGCTGCTTACTGGCTTGCTCCTCTGGTCTGTTCTCAGCCTGCTTTCTTATACAACACAGGACCACCTGCCAAGGGGCAGCACCACCCACATAGTGGGCCAGGCCCTCCCACTCACTAGACAATCAAAGAAATGACTCACAGACATGCCCACAGGGCCAAACTAATAGAAGAAATTCCCCAGTTGAGGTTCCATGTAATTATCTCAGTTGATAAACATAATCCTCAATCCCTTTTTCCTGGGATGTCAAGTCGACAAGCAAAGCTGTCCAGTATACCCAGGTTTCTTGGAATGGAATTTTCATACTTGTTTTCTGTTTCTCTTACATACTGATGAGGAATATCAAGTAGGTTGTCTCTCTTCCTTAGCAATCAGAAACACCTGGATTTCTTCATCAAAGTCAGTTATTTGCTGACTTTGATGAGTACATATATATAGGCTATGCTTTGGCTGTTTCAAGGCCTCACTCAGCACAATCACCCCATTGTGGTCCAAGGCATTCTCCAACAGGTTGATTCCCTGCAGGGTTTTACTGTGGGTAAAAGAAGCTAGGTACTCATAGCAGACACCAATTAGCTCTTTTGAGTGGCAGTTGGGATGTTTCACAGCTTCACACAACGGCTTTAAATCAGTGTCTTCTAGCTTATTTTCTGAAATCTGTACATTTTTCAGCTTCCTCTTGCTGCTGAGGACTGCAGCCAGGTCTGGATGATGATGATGATGGCTGGGTTGATCATGGGTGCACTGTGCAGTGGCTGCTTGAAGGCCCATCCCCTAGAAAAAGAGGGCAGTGTGCATGGTGGGGTCGTCAAGACCACCTTCTGACTGTACCCACTGCTTGGCCCCTCCACCCAAGCTTGGGAGCCAAAGGGCCCGGCACCTTGGGTGCTGGTGGTGGGAGGCCAGGCCTAGGGACAGGGGTGCAGATGGTCATGCCCAGGTGTTTTCCTTTTCATGGTCTCAGGTTCAGTTGGCTTTCTTGGTGTCTGCCATTTTCTCATCTTCCCCCATGGCCAGGGGAAACAAGTGATGAAGTATCTTCTTACTGGAGTCATGTTTTAATATATATTTCTTACTTCTTATTTTTATTTTATGTATATGAGTGTATTGCCTACATGTATGTAAGTGCATCTGTGTCATGCAGTGCCTGTGGAGATCAGAAGAGGCATTGGGTTCCCTTGGAAGTGGAGACAGTTGTTAGCTGCCATGTGGGTGCTGGGACTGGAACCTGGGTCCTCTGCAAGAGCATCCAGTGCTCTTAATCACTGAGCCATCTTCTCCAGCCCCCAGAGTCAGGTTTTAAGTCCTTGCACTGAGAGCCAGCACTCCAAGCACCATTGCTTTGGTGCCTGCGGCTGTGCCACAAACATCTCGGCTCTCCAGTTATTTTTTTCTTACTTGCCAAGTCTTGAGTTCAGGATTTTGAGATCAATATAGAAGCACCTAACATCAGGAAAATACTCATCCTGTGTGATAAGATTCCTCACATGGTCCCACACATGCACTCAGTCTCTTGGGAGTCGGTATGCCCTGGACTCAGGCTGGCTGCCTGAGGCATGCCTTGGATTGTTCAAAAATCTTAGCATGTTTTAGTCTTAAAAAAAAAAAAAAAAAAAAAAGCAATGTAGGATTTTTTTTCATTTAAAAAATGTTGTAATTCTTTTTAAGAAATTTTTTGTCCAGAACCACCAGAAATTGACAATGGAATAATTAAAGGGGAAAGTGAGAATTACGTTTATGGTCAGAGTATATCCTATGAATGTGACAGAGGGTTCATCCTTGTTGGAAAGAGCTCCATTTATTGTACTGTAAAAAATAATGACGGAGAATGGAATGACATGCCACCTGAATGCAAAGGTAATCAGTTATATTTTTGTTTTATTCTTATTTAGTCTGTATATGAACTGTAGACAGTCTATGAACTCTGAAAAAATGAATGAAAATGTAGGGTATATCCATATTGGCACTTATTTGTGGTACACAATATTTTTTCTGATTCTGAGAGATTTGTAATTTCCATGGATATGCAAAAATATGAAATATATATAAAACCTTAAGAGATATTTGAGACATGTTAAAATGCTCTAAAGAGAAAGAGAAAGGAAAGGAGAGAGAGATAAGCGTGAGAGGTACAGAAGCAAGAAGGAGAAATAGGAAGAAAAATACTAAAAACTATGACTGGGAATTTTCTGAAATTCATGAAATGCATCAGGGGGCAAATTAAAGACCCTAAGTAGAATAAAAACAGTACCTCTTAAACGCTACTTATTTAGTTTCTGAGTAAAACTTTGGAAATTCAAACCAGCGATAAAAGGAGCAGCAAGAAAATTAATAGTTGATTTATCAACAAAATGGCTCAAGCCAGAAGACAAGAATAATTATTTTAATTCTGTGTGAAGATTAATGCTCACAAGGACCTCCACACCTAATGAATATATCATTTTTTCTGCATAGCAGAATGTTGGTTGTGGGCTTGTTGTATATTGCCTTTATTATGTTGAGATACGCCCTCCAAATCACTAGGTTCTCCACGACTTTTTATGAAGGGATGTTGGGTTTTTGTCAAAGGCCTTTTCTGCATCTACTGAGAAGATCATATGATTTCTGTACTTGAGTCTGTTTATGTGGTGAATTACATATATTGATTTACTTATGTTGAACCATCCCTGAATCTCTGGATGAAGCTGACTTGATCATAGTGGATAGTCTGTATGAGGTGTGTTTGCATTAGGTTTGCAAGTATTTTATTGAGAATTATTATTATTAATTATTATTTTGATTTTTTTGAGGCAGGATCTTCCTGTAACTGCAACTGGCCTGGAATCAGGCTGACCTTGATCTCATAGAGATCTGCTTGTCTCTGCCTCCTAAATGCTGGGATTAAAGGCATCTGTCTATGTTTATTAGAGAAATTAGCACATCATTTTATTTTTTGCTGGACCTTTGGTTTTGTTATCAGGATAATACTGGTTTCATAAAAATAATTTGGAAATGTGTCTTAATTTTATATTTTATGGAATAATTTGAGGAGTATTGGTATTAGTTTTTTTCCTGAAAGTTTGGTAGAATTCTATATTGTGTCCATCTGGTCTTGGAATTTTTTAGTTAGATTTTTAAGTAGTGTTTCTATCTCAGTGGCTGTTATTAGTCTCCTTAAATTATTGGCTTTAATTTTGGTAGATCATACATATGTGGAAATTCCTTCTTTTTAGGTTTTCCAGTTTAGTAGAATATAGGTTTTATTTTCTTCAGTTTATGGTTTTTATGATTTATGATGACCATGTTTTGAGAAACAATTCTTTGCATTAAATAACTAAATTCTGTACTACAAAGTACAGATTCTTCATTTAGTTTTAGCTTCAATTCACTGAGAAGCTTTCTTTTGCATCTTTCTGGCCATCCACCTGCGTTTAAACCTCTTGGCATTTTGTTTTCTGGGTTCCCCAAGTGCTATTCAGAAACTAGGTTTTTTAAAGTATGTTTAATGATTTTCTCAGTATCTGTGTAATAGTTCCCTTTTCACCTCTGATTTTATTAATGTGTGCACTCTCCCTTTTCTTTTGGTTACTTTCGATAAAAGTTTTTTGATCTTTGTAATCTTTTCAAAGAACCAACTCCACTTTGTTGATTCTTTGTATTGGTTTTTGTTTGTTTGTTTCTATTTTATTAATTTCAGCCCTGATATATTTTTCTGATGTATATTTTTAATTGAATTTTTGTGCATTTCATGCATTAGATCTTAATTGTATTTAGATCCCCTCTCCTATCTGCAACTCCCCCATAGCCCACCCACAGTATTTTGTGCAGCCTGTCATATATGTTAAGGCCTAGCTAGTCAAGTTTGTGTACCAGATGTTCCTCGATGTGAGTTCATCCACTGGAGCCTGATCAGCCTCTCTAGTGCCACTCCCTTAACGAAGTTAAAGAGAAGACTCTCCTCACCCAGCATAGATTAGCTGCCAATAGTTCCTCAGGTAAGGTTGGGGCCTCCTGACCATTTCCCCTGATCTATGCTGGTTTTTGTCTGGTTGAATTCACATATGTCTTGTGCATGCTGTCACTATTGCTGTAAATTCATATGAGCAAGTTCCCAGAAGCCTGGAGGACTCCATGTCTTTATAGTCTTGCACCATCCCTTATCTTAAACTCTTTCTACCCACCCCCCACTTCCTCAATGACCCCTGAGCCCTGGGTGGGTGAGGTTTAATATGAGTCCTCTCCAGGGACACATACTCTGCAGTCTCTTATTCTCTACAGTTAGGCTAGTTGTGGACTTCTGTTTTCATCACCCTCTGTTACATGAGGAAGCATCACTGGTGAGAGCTGAGAGGTGCATTAGTATTCTGTCTACCCCCTGTTCCACTGTGTTCCATGAGCTTTAGCTATAGAGGTTTCATTGCTGATGTGTCACTTAGGGCTGGGGCTCTCAGACACTTATTCTCTGTGTGTGACCAGTTGTAGACTTCTGTAATAGTCTCCACCTGTTACAAAATGAAGTTTCTTTGGTGAGTGGTGACTGGTATACTTGTCTGTAAATATAAGCGTACCTGAAAGGATGGAAAAACATATTCCAAGCAAATGACACTAAGAAATAAGCAGGTTTTGCAATTCTCATATCTGGCAAAATAGGTTTCAAATTGAAACTAATCAGAAGAGATAAAGGGTCATTTTCTTCTGATGAAAGAACAATTGACCAAGAAGACGTTACAATCATAACGTATATGCACCAAACTCTACTGCACCTAATTTCATAAAAACAGTACTACAGGACTTTAAGATTAACCTCAACTCAATAGTAGAAGGTGACTCCAATAGACAGGACAACTGAACAAAGAGTAAACAGAGAAACAGCTGAATTGTTCTAATTTGTTTCTCCATTGCTGTGACAAAATACTTTGACCAATATCAACTTGAGGAGGAAAGGGTTTATTTTATTTTACATCTCCTGGGTCACCATTCATTACTGGGGGAGCCCAAGGTAGGAACTCAGAGCAGGAGCTGGGAGGCAAGAGCTAAAGTACAGGCCATGGAGGAATGCTAATTACTGGTTTGCTCCCCTGGCTCAGCCTGCTTTCTTATACAACATAGGCCCACCTGCCCTGGGGTGGCACCACTCACAGTAGGCTGGGTCCTCCCACATCACTTAATAATCAAGAAGATGCCTCACAGAGATGGCCACAGGCCAGACCAATGGAAGCAATTCACAAATTGAGGCTTCCTGTGCCCAGGTATGTCAAGTTGACAACTAAAGCTATCCAGCACATGAATTGATATCATACATCAAATGGAACTAAAGACTTCTACCAAATAGTCCACCTAAGCACCAAAAAATACACTTTCTACTCAGCATCCCATGCAAGTTTCTCTAAAATTGACCACATACTGGGGGGCACAAATCTCAACAAATTCAAAAAAATTGAAAGAATCCCATGCATTCTACCAGACTACAATGCAACAAAGCTTAAAAGGAACAGCAAAAGAAGCCCTAGTAACTACATGAGTTCATTAAACAACATACTCCTAAATGATGAATGGTTCAAAGAAGAAATTAAAAAAAAAATATTCTTGGAATTAAATGGAAATGATAACACAACACAACAAAACCTCTGGGACACTTTAAAAGCAGTCCTGAGAGGGAAGTTTATAGTTCTAAGTGCCTACATTAAAACATCAGAAGGACCACAAACACATAACAGTACAACTCGGCTCTGATTTTGAGAATCTCTTCCCATGTACTCTTTTGGTTGTTGTTTCTTCCTGTTTTTCAAAGGCCTTCATGTGCATTATTACATTATTAATATAAGATCTCTCCAGTTTTTTGATGTAGGCACTTAGCATTATAAATTTTCATTTTAGGACTGCCTTCATTGAGTCCCATAGATTTTGGTGTGCTGTGTTTTAATTTTCATTCAATTCTAGAAATTTTTAAATTTTCTTCCTGATTTCTCCTTTAGCCCAATTTTCACTCAGTAGTGTACTGTTAGGTTTCCATAAGTTTTTGTTCTTTTTCCCTTTTCTAATTTTGTTGATATCCAGTTTTGTTGTGTTATTCAGATAGAATATAGGGTGTTGTTTCAATTTTTTAAAATTTGTTGAGAGAGAGAGAGAGAAATCACTAAGAAGATCTGAGTCTGAGCAACAGTGATTAGAGTTAAACGTTGATGTATAAGAACACGAACCCCATAAGGACTGATGATCCATCTTTTCCAAGTGCACATGGGGCATTTACAAAAATTGATGATACGTTGAGCTTCGGTCTCAGTGCTTTTCAGATTGGAGTTATTCACATTCACAGCATTCTTTTTGACCACAGTGGAAGGAAGTTAGTCATTGATAACAAAGAGATAACTTGGATATTGTCAGAAAATATAAACTCATTGGAAGTATATAAGTTCATTGGATCAAAAATAAGAACTTAGTAGAACAAATTTTTATGTATGAGATCCTTAAAAGAAAAGTCCATAGAAAAATTTCACATGCTCCATCAATAACATCTATTGTTAAGTGTCTAGTAGGTGCTATGTTACCTGCCAGGATTTTACTTGAGTTATCTCTATAGCATCCCATGACGCAGATTAAAAAAATAGAAAAAATGACACATACTCTCTGAACAGCTAGAAGAACATGGTGTATGTGGTGGGCAGGGCAGTACAGCATTAACTGAGCTAGCCTCTTGCTTCAGAGACAGGCACTGTGTAAAGTAACCTACCTAAATTGTTCCCTACAATGATATCATGCCATCTACACTGGGTTTTTTTGTTTAATTTTTTGTTAGTTTATTTAAATTGACACACAATTATACAATTTAGGGGGAAGAGTGTGATGTTTCTGTAAGTGCATACACTGGAATGACCAAATCAGTGTAATTACCTCATTCTGTTATGTTTGTATCCTCATTTTACAAATGAAAAAGGCAAACTTAGAAGGATAAAGGATTTGCCAAAGTTCAGCCTTGAAGTGCTTCTTTCAGGGGGGATTGTAAAAGAACCCAGAGGCCAACAGCTCTGAAGACCTAAAAACACTGATACATTGTTAGATTTGTGGGTTTTCGAATACATATATATATAATGTAATGTAATATATATATATATATATATATATATAATTTTGCTTTTGGACACAGCTATCTTAGAAACTCACTTTGTAAATCTGGCTGGCCTCAATCACAGAGATCTTCCTGCCTCTGCCTCTGGAGTGCTGGGATTAAAAGCGTGTGCCACCACATCCAGCCCTAGAATGAATATATTTTAGTGGAACTTTTGTGTTATCTTCCATCTGACCGGAACTCTAAAGAAGAACCAAATGATAAAGTATGTAAAGTTGATAACTGGCATGAGAGGAAAGGGAGCCATTTTACCCACACCTATGTTACTGTGGAAAAGAAATAAGTTCACAAATTTACTAACACATACTGAAAAAGTGGTAAAAGTAACTGCTGTCCTCTTCATTGGTTTGATGGTTATATCCCATTGATCTTTGGTCTTGGTGTAAATGGAAGAAGACAGTTTTGAAGAGAAAATAGAGATGTGTCACATAATAAGATCATTATTGACTCCAACTTTGGTTTCTTTATTTACACAGATAAAAGCTTAAAAACATCAATATCCTATTGTTATAAGTCTATTTAGTCACCTATAGCTATAATTAATTGCAAAACAAAAACGATGCAGCATCTTCATGTCCTACATACGTAAATTATTTTATGTAGCTATATAAAATCTAAGATCCACAAGTGGAGAACATGCAATGTGTGTCTTTCAGAGACTGTCTTATTTTGCTTGGTATGATGATTTTTAGTTGTATCATGAAAAGGAAACTGTCTGGGAAATGAATGGAAATAATGGGAGGGAGGGAGAGAGGGAGGGAGGGAGAGAGGGAGGGAGGGAGGGAGGGAGAAGGGAGGGAAGGAGAAAGGGGAGGAAGGAGGGAGAAAGAGGTTAGGGAATACTGTTGAAATATATGTCTGTATAAAGTATGTTTATGAAACTCATCACCATGTACAATGAAATCGCACCAATGAGAATGTTGCAACATTTTACCTCCTTGGGAAATAAGGATTGGTTTCCTAAAGTCCTGTCTAGGTGTTTTTAGGGAAAAAAAGTGAATATATATGGGCTGGAGAGATGGCTCAGTAGTTAAGAACACTGGCTGTTCTTGCAGAAGACCCATGTTCGAATCCTAGCACCCACATGGCAGCTAACAGCTGTCTATAACTCCAGTTCCAAGGGATCCGACAGCCTCTCTGTCCTCCCCAGGCACTGTGCGACTGGGACGTATTTACCTACATACAGGCCATACACACATACACATAAAAATAATTTTTTTTAAAAAAGGAGAATAGCTGTAGAGCAAGCAATGGTTGCAAAAGCTCCACTTGGTCAGCAATATATTTAACTATTTTTTACCTTAACATGTTTTCTTCATAGAGAAATCTCTAACTTCCAAGGTCCCACCAACAGTTCATAAACACACCACAGTTAATTTTCCAAGTACAGAAGTTCCATTGATGTCTCAGAATCCAACCACAATTAATGTTCCAGCTACAAAAATCCCATCGGCATCTCAGAAACCCAGTACGGTTCATGCTCCAGGTACAAGAATCGCACCCAAACCTCAGAAACCTACCAAAGGAAATATCCCAGCTACAGAAGCCCCACCAACACCTCAGAAACCCAACACAGCCAATATCCCAGCTACACAAGCCCCACCAAGGCCTCAGAAACCCAGCACAGCAAATGTCCCATATACGGAAGCCCCACCAAAGCCCCAGAAACCCAGCACAGCAAACATCCCAGCAAATGTCCCAGCTACGCAAGCCCCATCAAGGCCTCAGAAACCCAGCACAGCAAATATCCCAGCAAGTGTCCCAGCTACGCAAGCCCCACCAAGGCCTCAGAAATCCAGCACAGCAAATATCCCAGCAAGTGTCCCAGCTACGCAAGCCCCACCAAGGCCTCAGAAATCCAGCACAGCAAATATCCCAGCAAATGTCCCAGCTACGCAAGCCCCACCAACGCCTCAGAAACCCAGGACAGAAAATATCCCATATACGGAAGCCCCACCAAGGCCTCAGAAACCCAGCACAGCAAATAGCCCAGCTACACAAGCCCCACCAACGCCTCAGAAACAGCAAATGTCCCAGCTACGCAAGCCCCACCAACGCCTCAGAAACCCAAAACCCAGCACAGCAAATAGCCCAGCTACACAAGCCCCACCAACGCCTCAGAAACCCAACACAACAAAGATCCCAGCTCCTCAGAAACCCAACACAACAAAGATCCCAGCTATGGAAGCCCCACCAACACCTCAGAAACCCAACACAGCAAATAGACCAACTATGGAAGCTCCACCAACACCTCAGAAACCCAACACAACAAAAACATCAGCCGCAAAGGCTTCACCACTAGTTCTGATATCCCCTGTATCACGTGATCTATCTACAAAGACCCCACGAACAACCCAGAATCCCACCGTAGCTAATACTTCTGCTCTACAGACTATACAAGCAACCCACAGATTTACCACAGCAAAAGCCTCAATTACACATAGTCCAGTAACACAAAAGTCCATTACTTCACGTGTCTCAATGACTAAGGGGAGATTCACCTCTGCTCATATTACAGCAACACAGCATGTACCTGTTACCAGGCCAGCCAAGAAGTTTCATTCAACAAGAACATCTACCACACAGAAGGAAATTTCTACTTCTGGTCAGTTGACATTGTTCAAGTTTCCCTTGTGTAGATCTAATGCATTAGGATGGAAATGTAAAGTTAACTAAGTCTGTAAGATTGAACAATCTCTATCTTAGTGTGGCTAGGGTGTTCCATACTCATGGCTTTGACTTGGACTAAAAATATAAATAAATAAATTGACATGATAACTTTGAATTTAGTTAGTATTTTCCAAAAGGGACTTTGGTTTCTGATAGTTTTGTTTTTGTTTTTGTTCCCCCCCCCCTTTTTTGAGACAGTCTCAACTATTTAGCTCAGAATGACCTTGAACTCCCAATACCCCCTGCCTCAGTTTCCCAAATGCTGGGATCAGAGACCCCTGCCACCATACTTGTTTTGATAGGTTTTTGTTGTTGTTGTAGATTATGTCAGCAGTTATTTTCTATTTAAGCTTTTCAAACCTCTTTCTTGTCATCAAGTCATAAATTTATACAGTGTTTTGGTATTCCTTAACTGTCATGCTTCTGCTTAAGTTGGTGACTATCAAATAGATATAAGCATTAGTGGTGATTCTAATTAGGCAAGTAGTATGTAATTGTGCTCCAATAATTTATAATTAGTATTTTTATGTATGGGAGTTTGAGTTGGTTTTGAGCTTTATGTGTAGTTATTGATATATACATATCTTTATTAAATTGTTAGCAAATTAAAATGTTTCATAACTTTTTCTTTTTCTTTTTAGATGCTGATGATCTTATATATGGTAAGTTTGACTCTCAGGGAGTTAAAAGAAATTGTCACCACTGTGGGAGGCACAATCCATATTTCTGGAAGAGAATCTTGTCTTTTAACTGTCTCAGGAAAACTATCAAAATACAGTGTTTATGGACACCTAAGGGAGAACGGGTAAATGCACTTTATCAGGGTGTTTTGTGGACACCATTAGGCACTCAGTATGTTTCCTCATATTACCAGCACTGTTCTTGTTCTAAGGCACTTTTCGGACAGCTTCAGATTGTTTGGCCCGTCAGTCAGGTAGTGTTATATGCTCGTTGTCTTGGTAAGTCATTCTAGGGACTGAAGAGTCACAGGAAGGAAACAATTATCAATGCAGTTTCTACCCTAAGTGTTTTATAATTAATCAGAACTACTCTTTGAGCAGTTTTCGATCTGTGCCTTAACCCTGATGAGGCCAAGAGTTCTACTTTTGACTATATCTTTCCTCCATCTCTATTAATCATTTTAAGCAAAGTTCTCTTAAAATACATTCTCTTGTTGCCAATGTATTCAGCTAAAAATATATGTGTTGCAGTTTTCTCTAGCATTTGTTCAGTCTTTTTCTTTGTCCATAAATATATTACTTAATATTAAATATTAACAAGATTCACAAACCATGTTCTAGTTTGCTTCTCTATTGCTGTGATAAACACCATGATCAAAATCAACTTAGGGAAGATTTTAGCTTATGAACTCCCAGGCTGTAATTCATCACTGAGGGAAGCTAGGGCAGGAACTGCAGGAGCTGAAGCAGAGACCATGAAGAGTGCTACCTACTAGTTTGCACCACCTGCCCAGGAATGGCACTGCCCACAGTGGGCTAGGCCCTCTGCTGTCACTCAACAGCCAAGAAAATGCCCCACAGACATGGCCTGAAATAAATTTACTTTAAATTAAAGAATATCATGATTTAATGATTTAATGTTTTCAAAAGTTTTGAGTTGAACTTATGACTCTTTCTGACCTACTCAGTGGTATTTAATAAGGATCTGAGATTTTTTTTACCATTTTTTGAAATTAATTTACTTTTATAGTGCTGGGGATCTAATTCAGGCCTTGTAAATACCAGACAAGAGCTCTAATACGGAATATCACCCCTTTTATTTTCCTGTCAAATTCTTGAAGTATCTATCTTGTGATTTCCCAGGAAACTCTCTTTAGAGTGGGTTGTAATTTACTTGTGTTCAGAACTCTTTCCTTCTTAGACATATGGAAAAAAAGTTTTCACATGTAATCTTTTAAAATAAACTTGAAAATTATGTCTTAAATTTATTTTGTGAATCAGGTATTATCTCACTTTAAGATGAGTAAATTGTATTGCAAGTAAGATGTTTATTCATTTATGTTTTCTTTATGACTAATTGGGAGCGTTTTTCATTAACTTTTTTAATGACCACACAAAGAAGTGACTGTCACTGTGGAATTTGTATGCATATATATTATTAAACTTTATTCTTATTCACACCCCCCAATGGTCCTCCCTGGGAAAATACTTTTAATGATTATGCAAGTGTAAGTGTAAGTGAATGATGACGGTATCAGAAATTTTCAATTTTTTTTCTTATCTAATTCTTTTTAAAAAAGATATAGAAACCATTAGACATTCTTCATTTGGCTTATAAGTGCCACTGGTGTAAAATTTAAAGATGTTCTTGCTCTGACTCTTTATCAGTCCCCCCCCACTTCTCTCTCTCTCTCATTCTTGCTTTCCCTCTGACATTAAGCATTTTTCCATATCATCTCCCATGAAATATTAATTCCACCCATATACTTTAAATCAGTTTATGTTATTTCTTTATATCCATATATTTTACATATATAAAAATAATTGCTTTCAGTCGGGTGTAGCTCATGCCTGTAGTCCCAGCACTTAAGAGGCAGAGGCAGGTGGATCACTATGAGTTCAAGGCCAGCTTGGCCTACATAGTGAGTTCCAGGCCAGCTGAGGCCTGTTTCAAAAAAAAAAAAAATGACAGCAAAAAATAATTGTTTTCACTCTCTTGGAATATCTGCCCTTTACATTTCCAAAAATTTTTTTTTCTCATTTGATCACCTTCAATAAATAAGTACAGTGCTAGGTAAATAGGAGAAGGTGCTTAGTAACAGTTTTTTGTTTGTTTGTTTTTAAAGTCAATATCATGTAGAAGAAAATGAAAAAAAAAAACTTGTGCTTAGGAGTCAGTCAGACTGGTTTGAATATGGCCTTTTCATTTAATAAATGCTCACCCCCCCCGAAAAAAATACTCAGTCTCAGTTTTCTCATCTCTGAGACAGACCATGATCAAAAGTCCTAGCCGGGCAACACAGGATGAATAAATATTAGATTCAAGAAATCATAGTGTGCAGTCACCATTATTTTTCTAAGATGTGTGGTGGCATTATCATTCCCCCTGACTATGTCAAAGAATGAGCACAGGTCCTTCTTCAGTAATCCTTGCATGTTTGCTGTGTGGTAAGACTGTATTGAATTTTTTACAGTTTCTTTCTCTCCTCATAATGCTGGAATGTGTTCTCTGTTTTGCTTTTTTTTCTAAGCTGAAAGAAATAAACATGTTTTCCTTTTCTTATATTTTTATTTATTCCTTGAGAATTTCATATGTGTATATAGTGTATGTTGGTCGTACCCATCCCCATTTCTCCCTCCATTTCACCCCCTGACCCCTGCATGACTTCAACATATGATCCCCTCCCAACTTCATGCCCTTTCCTTTGTTTTTTTCTTTTTAATAATCCATTGAGTCCAATTAATGATGCCCGTATGCACATGGGTGTGGGGCATCTACTGGAGCATGGTGGCATGATCAACCTACCAGTTGCCACATCCACAAAAAAAAAAAATGACTGTCCATTGAAAAAAGTGGTTTTGCACAATTTGTAACTTGTTCAAAGTCATAGAGCTAAATATAATGGAAACAGAGGCCAGTGAGTAGGTTTTCTCATACAGAGTCTCATCCAACTGGTAGGACAAGAGTCTGCACAACTCAAATCAGACAATTAAAGTAGCCTTGATTCTGTACAAATGGTGTCTTTATCCTCAGTCCCCACTGTTAAAATCCTGTGTTGTAACATTTATAAATCCGTTATAAAGATGAACAGCTCAATTGTAATATTAAAGTTAGAAAATACTTAGTGAAAAACATATTTTTCTAAGTCCTTTATCATACACATTCATTTATCCTTTATAGAATTACCTAAATATATCATGACGGTTTAGCTAAAATCCAAGTAGTCTTGAATCTCATCATTGTTTGAATGAAAAGTGCTGATATGAAGATTGTCACTATGTTTTGTTATGTCCTGACATGTGGCATGATTAACATTCAATAGAATTATAGAGTGACTATAGTTATCTACCTGTTATTCAGAAGTCAGATAATCACCTATTTCCTCTGATAAGTTTTCTCTGAAAAACAAAGTATATGAATTTCACTTCCAAAAATGGAAGTAATAAAGAGATCGAGAACCTAAGGAATGTGACAAGATGCTTCTAGAGGTCTGGGTGTTACTTTGAGGAAACTGTTGAGTCTGCATTTATAAATCTGAAAATTTAAGATTTACTCTAACACGTTCTTTTTTTAAACTGAAGTTTTGTGTATTTTATACAGAACATCTCAAACTTAATTATCTCCATCCCCACTGGTACCCTCCCATGGCCCCCCCATTGGAACCCACATATTCTGTCATCCATGTTAAGACCCAGTGTGTTAAGTCAGTGTCCCCAGACGTTCCCCAGTGCAAGTCCATCCACTGAGGTCTAGTCAGCCTATCTAGAGTTTCTGGTTTTAGGAAGATCAGCTCTTCCTCACCTAGCAGTAATTAGTTGCCAATGTTTCTTTGACTATGATTGGGGTCTACTGTTCATTTCCCCAGTTCTGTGCTGGGTTTATGTCTGCCTGAGGTTGCACGGGGCTTGTGTATGCTTACACCATTGTCATAGAATCATATGAGCAGGGCCACCAGAGCTTGCAGGATTCTGTTTCCATACAGTCATGCACCTCCTCCCTGGCTCTTACAATCTTTCTGCCCTCTCTTCTGAGATGGTCTCTGAGCCCTGGGTGGGTGAAGTTTAATATAGGAGTCCTGTCCAAGGACTAGCATTCTGCAGACTCTTAATCTCTATGTTTTGGCCTTTTGTGATGTTTTGTGTTCCTGGCCCTCTGTCATCTTCATTAATGAGGATTGAGAGATTCATTAGTTCTTCATTACCTCTGTTCTATGTTCCATGTGCCTTAGGTGTAGAGTTTACATTGTAGATGTGTCCCTTAGGTCTGAGCAATTCATAGACAGTGTCTGTGTGTGACAAGTTGTGGTACTTGGTAATAGTCTCTGACTGGTGCAAAATAAGCTTCTTTGATGAGTGGTGACTGGGATGTTTGTCAGTAAATATAAGGATACATCTTTTGCACATAACAAGAAATTACATTACTTTAGGGATGTGACAGTTTTGGAGTTTTCTCTAAGCTTTATGACCTCTCCAGCCATGTGTATTTGGTTATGTTTACAATACCACACTTGAGTTTCCTCCCATTGAGTGGGCTTTTAAAATGTCCAATTAAGTAGCTGTTGATTTCCCCCAAGATAAAAGTGCCACTAGTGCACCAATGTCATATGCTGTGATGGCCATTGATGTGGTTATTTGGTCTTGAAGCTGGTGTTGGACCATTGATTGATGTTTTCCCTTGACACTTTCATAGTGCTCTCCAAAGTATGAGAATTAGCCTTCAGGGAAAGAGGTTTCAGGTAAGTTACAGCTCTATTGCTTCAAATCCTGTGTCCAAAGTATGTTCCGTCTTCAGCAGTAGGGTCTTACCTTCAACTTCTTGGAGCCAGTAAGGGCTGTGAAATTTTGGGGGTCTCTTGGACCACCCTGGCCAAGAATTCACAGAAAGTTTCTCTGATTTGGCACTGTTCCTTGTTATATAGCCTTTAGCTATACAAATGGACTCATCTAGAGATACAGTATGTGTAATTTGTCATTAGGTTGTTGGACTAATGTTTCCCTCTGTTTCTTCTTTAAACTAACTAGGCATCATTTATCTCTCCTCTCCCTGTCTAACCCTTCCGCCATGGTTTCCCCATTTAAAGTGTCCCCATTTTCCTCATTTCTACCTTACTAATACCAGTCTCCCATGGTCCCACCTCTCTTGAGCTCCTCTTTTCCTTTATCCCCAAGTTCCTTGTATAGTCCTCCCTTCCCTACTCCCATTTAAATAACCCCATTTTAATCCATTTCTCCCTTAGTAACACCTATCTTCTACTGATCTCTCTCAGGTTCTTTCTTTCCCTTTACCTCCCTGATGTGGTTATTTGGTCTTAAAGCTGGTGTTGGACCATTTCATTATTCTTACTCCTACAGTTACATCTGGATACATAGTCACATATAAGTATTTGGTGCCAGGATCTGCATATGAGGGAGAAAATACACAATTTGTTTTTCTGAGCCTGTGTTATTTTACTTAATATAACAGTTTCTAGTTCCATCCATTTACCTGCAAATTTCATGATTTCACCTTTCTTTACTGCTGAGTAGAACTCCATCATGTAAATGTACCACATTTTCATTATCCACTTGTCAGTTGACTGGCACTTAGGTTGCTTCTGTGTCTTAACTACTGAGAAAAGAGCATCAACAAACATGAATGTACATGCATCTCTGCAATAGGATGAGTCTTTTGGGTATATGCCAAGGAGTGGTATAACTGGGTTAAATGATAGGTTCATTTGTAGTTTTTTAAGAGTTCTCCACACTGCTTTCCATGGGGATTGCACGAGTCTGCAATCCCACCAGCAGTGAATGACCATTCCCCTTTTTCCACATCCTTGCCAGCATTTGGTATCATTTGTTCTCTTGACCTTAGCCAGTCTGACTGGGGTAAGATGAATCTTAAAGTGGTTTTAGTTTGCATTTCCCTAATTACTAACAATGTTGAACACCTTTTAAGATGTTTCTTAGCCATCTTTATTTCTTCTTTTGAGAACTCTCTGTTCAGATCCTTAGCCTGTCTTTTAGTTGGGCTACTTGCTTTCTTGATTCTTTTTTGAGTTCTTTATATATTTTGGATGTTAAACCTCTGTCAGAAGTGACACTGGTGAAAATTTTTTTCCCACTCTATGGATTTTCTCCTCACTTCCTTGTTTGTTTCTTTTGCTGTCCAGAAGCTTTTTAGTTTAATGAGGTTCCACTTATTGGTTCTTGACCTTAATTTCCTAAGCAATTGGTGTCTGATTTAGAAAGCCCTTTCCTACACCTATATCTTGTAGTTTACTGCCCCTGTTTTCTTCTAACAATTTCAGAGTTTCAGGTTTTGCATTGAGGTCTGTGATCCATTTGGAGCTGACTCATGCAAGGTGAAAGATAAGGGTCTAGTTTCATTCTTCTATAGGTAGAGATCCATTTTTGCCAGCACCATTTGCCGAAGATGCTGTCTTTCCTCCAGTGAATGTTCAGGTGACTGAACTTGGATGTACTCATGTTTGGGTCTTCAATTATGTTCCATTGGTCTATAGGTCTATTTTTGTGCCAGTACCATGCTGTTTTTATGACTATAGCTCTGTAGTATAGTTTGAAATCTGGTATAGTAATCGCTCCAAGCATTGCTCTTTGTGCTCAGGGTTTCTTTGGCTATCTGGGGTTTTTTGTGCTTCCATATGAATTTTAGGATGTGTTTTTTCTAATTCTGTGAAGTAGGTCATGGGGATTTTGATTGGGATTGTATTGAATCTCTATATTGCTTTTGGTAGGATGGTCATTTCACAATATTAATTCTTCCAATCCATGAGCATGGGAGGCCCTTCCATCTTCTGGTGTCTTCCTTGATCTCTTTCTTTAAAGATTCAAAATTTTCATTGTAGAGATTCTTAATCTTTGGTTAGGTTTATTCTGAGATATTTTATTTTTTGAGGCTATTGTTAATGTGAACATTTCCATGTACTCTTTCTCCAACTGCTTGTTATTGGTATATAGAATGGCTAATGATTTGTGTAGATTCATTTTATAACCTGTCACTTCATTGAAAGTGTTAATCATTTTTAGGAGTTTTCTGGTGGAATTCTTAGCATCTCTTAGAAATAATATTGAATCATCTGCAAAAAGGATGTGCTGGATAGCTTTAGTGTGAACTTGACACACTTGGGTTGAAGGAGCCTCAGTTGGGGAATTGCCTCCATTGGACTGGCCTGTGGCCATATCTGTGGAGCATCTTCTTGATTGTTGAGTGATGTGGGAGGGCCCAGCCCACTGTGATGTGGTGTCACCCATGGGCAGGTGGTCCTGTGTTGCATAAGAAAGTAGGCTGAGCAGGGGCCGTGGAGCAAGTCAGTGAGCAGCATTCCCCTATGGCCTGTGCTCCAGTTCCTGCTGCCTGGTTCCTGCCCTGAGTCCCTACCTTGGGCTCCCGGATGAACTGTGACCCTGGAGATGTAAGCCTAATAAACCCTTTCCTCCCCAAGTTGGTATTGGTCAAAGTGTTTTGTCACAGCAATGGAAAAACAAACCAGGACAAGGGGATAATTCTCTTGTCTTATTGCTCTAGCAAGAGTTTCAAGCACTATATTAAAAAGGAG